TTGCCAAACAAAACAAAACAAAAAACACAGACTAGCCCAAAATGTGAAAACAGGAAAATACCACTGTGTAATCCATTTATTTCAACAAAGTAACTGTAATCCCATTACCACTCACTGAATCAGTAACTGTAACTGAAAACAGTTACTCATAATTTGTACTCTGATTACGTAACTCCAGTACATGTAATCTGTTACTCCCCAACACTGCCCACAGCTTGGCGGTAGAGGCCTCTGTGGGACAGAATTTTCAATTCCGCTCCTGCCTGCATCTGCGATAGTTTGTCCCGCTCCAGCCGCAAATCCCGCAAGATGGGGACATTTGCTTTCTTAACCTCTATCAAACATGGAGAAGCGGAAAGGAATTGTCTTAAATGTGCGCGAGATTAGACCATGTCCGCAAATTTGGCTGCTTAAAATGTTTTTATTAATGCCAAATAAAATATCCAGCACAAATTATGAATGATAGGCAAACATTAATCATTTGTATATCTTACTTTACACTCATTCAGTTTATGCAGTTTATCATCCCATCCGCCTGCCCCAAAATGAGCTTTCAAAATGTGTCTCTGCCACACTGTTTTGCGTCGGGTTCTCTAGGTGCTAGGCTCTGCTTGGAGGTGCGATTCCAGCTCCCACAGATGAAATGCTGTTGTTGTGTTCTTGGGCAAGACACTTAACCTACCTCGCCCTGTGTCTGGTATGTGAATGGGTGAGTAGTTTCTTGATGTAAAGCGCTTCGAGTGCATTGAAGGTGGACAAGCGTTATATAAAAATGTGACTGCTGACCATTTCGCAAGGCATATGAACAGATTAAGTGTCTTGCCCAAGGATACGACTTCAAGGAACTATCAAAACTTTCATTAGACTTTTTGCGAATGGACACCTGTCACACATGGACAAGAGGATGGTTAAGTTTTTTCCTAACCCCACAATGCTGCTGTGTCCTTGGATTTCACCTTCTTTGCGCTCAAGTTACAGTGATAGGTGATTGTAAATGGAAGGGCATCTGGCTTGTAAATGAACTTGTAGTTTATTGCACAAACCAACATCTTGGAGTGAGACCAACTTAATTTCTTCCAAAGATAAAGGTGCACTATGCGAGTCTATGGGGGCATGCCACCTGTTTGTCTCCCTGGAATATTGTTCAGGATAGTTTTAAAGGAATATAACTTCTGGATATTCAATTAGGGGTGTTTTATTGTTCGAAAATACCACAAAAAAGTTACACAGTGTACCTTTAGCATACAAATCAACTATCTTTGCAAATTAAGAGGTCATCAATCAGTCAATCAATCAAACTTTATTTGTATAGCGCATGTCAGTATATGCTCAAGTTTTTAACCACCAATCTGTAGCACCTTCCAATTTTTTTATATGTCAAATTCTTCTTATTATTTTAACCAAATTTATCTTAATTTAATTTTTCTTGCTGTTTTATTGTGTGTTTGGAGTTATTGTTGTATGTTAAGCTCTTTGGTCAACTGTGGTGGTTTTTAAAAGTCCCATTTTATGCAATTTTTTGATGTGTTATAATGTTTCTTCATCAAAAACATACCTTGAGTTGTGTTTTGTTTCATTCACACATGTTTAACGCACAAACCCTGCATATTTAAGCTGTGTCCATCTCTCAAACAGAAAAAAAAAAACACTCAGTTCCACCTTGTGATGTCATGTGGTAATACAGGAAGTGCTCCACTGTGTTTTTAAAGTCCATATATCTTCACTGGAAGCGTTTGGATGATGATTTCAGATCTGGAATTGCTCATCTCTACTGAACAAATGGAATAAAGAAGCTGATAACTTGAAAACTACCACTGCATGACATCACTTGGTGGAACAGAGCATTGTGGGCTTCAGAGATGTAGACAGACTAATAAACCAGCATCACTGAAACTTGTGTGAATGAAACAAAACACAACTCCAAGTATGTTTACATTATAACATGGCTTAAATCTCACAAGAGTCAATTTTGTGTGATATCGGACCTTTGAACGTGCTATACTGCTACACAAATACATTTAACTTGATATATTATAAGCAAATTTAAGAATGAACTACCACAGAAGTCATGTTAGCGTCCAAAAAAGTCAAAAGGGACATTGTCACTGCTGAATTGTCCCCGTATATGAGCAGTAATATGAAGATTGTGGTCCGTGTGCCAGGGCAGCCACACACAGACAGGCTAACAGTGATATATGTTCGGTGAGATGGATTACTTGGTTCTCTCCGCACAAGTCTCCTCAGCTATCCCAAGTCTATTTGTCAAAGTCCTCTTTCCGGTTCTTGACTTACATCTGTCTTTTGGAGGACTCGTAGATACGCAGTGCTTAAGTATAATTCCTATCACTCACACTCATATGTCCCCTTGTTTTCTACACTGGATTTAAAGATTATGATAAACAGTAGTGGAACGTAACAAATTTAAATAATAATTAATAATAAATAATTCAATTTAAATAATTACGCCTTATTTGACACCAGTCTCTTGCTATTTTTGCTACTTATTTAGAATTTATTATTACCATTTCTCTTTTGTTATTATAATATATTGTGATGTGTGAGCTACTGTGTGCAAGTAATTTCCCTTGTGGACTAATAAAAGTTTCTAGTGTCTAAGTCTTAATTTAGTAAATTACTGTAGTTAAGTGAAACATTTTATGTATCCGTACTTTACTTAAGTACGTTTTTACATTGGATACTGTTTTACTTTTACTTCACTACTTTTGAGAACAGGTATCATTACAGCTGAGTATTTTATTATTATTATTATTATTATTTGAGACCAACTGAAAAGGCTGAGAAGTTTATTTTTATCAAGTTCATAGTCTGAGAAAAATAAAATATATAAATCATAAAAAACAGCGAGAAAAAAAAAACTAAGGAATTGATTCAGATATTTCTATTGAACAAATCTTTATCAAAATCTCTACATTTGAAGCTTTATTAGCTCTTAAAATTTGCATGAAATACTTTAACTTTTTACTATTTAAGTACATTTTTAGGCAGGTACTTTAATGCTTTTACTTAAGAAGATTTTTCATGTATGTCTTGAGTATTTTTGCTCCAGTATCTGTACTTTTACTCAAAGGTGCACTTGTGTAACTTTGTTGTTTGGGTCCATCACATGGATATGTCTATGGATATGTCTTTGCTCTGCCTGGAATGTTCCACAGTATGACATTAAACAGCGCTACCTTACATTTATTCAGTTGTAGGTGGTTGTTTTATAGCTCAAAAATGCCTCAAAAAACAAACATTCTGACCACGATCAGGGTTGCCTTCCACAGACTTGCCCTGTAAGTTGGTTTGGTCTCTATGAAGATAGAAAGGTTTAATGCAAAGAAATATTATCTCCATGGAGAACAAGCATTTGAATGCACCTTTAAGTAACAAGAAGATAAATTACTTGGTTTTCTCCGCACAAGTCTCCTCAGCTAACCCAAGTCTATTTGTCAAAGTCTTCTTTCCGGTTCTTGACTTACATCTGTCTTTTCGAGGACTCGTAGATACGCAGTGGTTAAGTATAATTCTCATCACTCACACTCCTACATCCCCTTGTTTTCTACACTGGATTTAAAGATATGATAAGTAGCAAAAGTTTAAAAAATACATAAAAATACCTGACAAAAATAATTCAACTTGAGGCTCTTTCTGACAGCCTTGACACCGCTGGTTGCCCTGGAACTGTGTTTGATAGTGGATTATCCATCTCAACTGAAGCAAAAAATATGTGATTTATTTATCTTTCAACTCTGCTCCAACAGTAGCAGGAGTATTTTTAAATCACAAGGAGAGCACATGTTGAGAAAAGGGGGGCTGTTTTGACAGACAGGAAAGCTATGATTGTTACAAAGCATGTAAATAGGTTGTAAAAAGTAATTTTACAAGTGGCACTGACTTTGATGTAACACATTCAGCGCTGATGTTTAGAACCTGGCAGTTGAAGATGTCTCTAATTTAGACAAGATGCCTCACTTGTCATACTATAAGTTCTTATGGGTGCAAGGGAAGGTTTCACATTTGCTTCGAAGGACTTGAATAAGAGACAAAGATTGCCCACAAGCCACTATTAAAAGACTAATTCATTTTACTTTTTCTTTTACTGTGCCAAATATGGTAAATATTTTCTTTTTTATCACTTACAGTGATTTTTATTGGGGTTAAAGCACATATTGTTCAATCAATTTCATTATTAGGCCCGAGCCTTGGACAAAGTCCCAGCGAGGGACTAATTTAAAACGAGTCTGGAGTGCAAAAACTGCAAAAATCAAGTAGTAAACAAGCCCGGACACACCAGTGACCAGTATCAAAAATGTGCTCGATGCACTCTAATTTTGAGTGAAGTTCCCCCAAAAAATTTATGAAAGAGGATTCAGCAGCAAACTTTGATTTTCATAGGGCCTATGGGAGCCTGACCCAGAAAAAAAAACTAACCTCAACCTAAAAATCTGAAACCCAGTACAAAAAATAGAACAGAACAGAAAAGTCAGGACATGAAAAAATTATATTATGGAACCGCCCAAAACCCAACAGGAAGTCAGCTATATTAGATCAAACCCAGGAATAATAAACGCCCACATCGGCACTTAGGACATCTCCTCAAACAGTTTTCATCACAAACACTCTGGCCCACCTTGTGGTGTCACGTGGTAATACAGGAAGTGCTCTGCTGTGTTGTTAAACTCCATACATTTTCACTAGAATCATTTGGATAATTTCAACTCTGGAATTGCCAACCTCTACTGAACTAAAGGTAAAAGCCAGTAGTCAGTTCTTAACTTGGAAACTACCACTTCATGATATCACAAGGTGGAACAGAGCATTCTGAGCTTTGAAGATGTAGAAGAGACCAGTAATGCAGGCAGGGTGAATGAAACTCCCGACTTCAGAGATGGTTTTGAGAATGTAGCAGCATTCTAACATGTGTTAAAACTCACAAAAGTCAATCTTGCGTAATATATGACCTTTAACCTTTCACTTCTTGCCTGTCCCCTCTCTAGATAACAGCGCTGGGATCCGTACGAAACGCACGGGCTTCAATCGTCACGAGCAGAACGTGTACATCCTGCACATCCTGGTCGTGGACTCAGGCCCACCATCACTGAGCTCCACTGGGACACTGACCATCCACGTGTGCGGATGTGACCCAGGTGAGAGCCACTATTATCTGCATTATCGTCACTGTCACCTTCTGGGTCAGCAGTGAGGAACAGGGAAAGGTCAGATGTGCGGGGCTACGAGGGGGTCAGTGAACGCCTCGTGTAGGGGGCCTCACCGCGGGGGGATTAGTGCGATTATGATTAATATGAGCGGAGTGAGTCAAGGGTTAGTCATGTGGCATTTGAGGTCTATGTGGTGAAGTGGAGAGTAATTGTGTTGAAGCGTTGGGTATGACAGAAAGCTTTTTAGACCTTTAACTTTTTTTTTTTTTTTTTTTTTATAAGACATATTGTGCTTGTGTCTGGGTGCTCTCTGCAACACATTTAAAAGTGTTTTAATGTCTAATAATCAGGAAGTGTGTGTTAGCATGCTGGTTGTTGTTAGCATCACAACTGTTGCGGTGTTCTTTACTCCATGTTGTTGCCTCAAAACTGCAACTGTTTGCTGATAACGCTGACAAGAATGTCTGGGTAATCCCCTTCAGGCAGATATAAGGCAGTGTCCACCAGGAATCTGAGCAGAACTGAAGCAGCGGCTTGGATGAGCTGTGAAACGTCTTTGATCAAAAAATTTTATCTAGTTGACAGGCTTGAATTTCTATTTTGCAACTCAGAAAAATGCCCACATCATTTCTTAAAAATAAATACATTAAAATGATGGGCAATTATCCCTTCAAGTCTCAGACTGGTTAGGATTAAATGGTTTCAGAAAGATGTAAAGTCTAGATTTGGAAAAAATATATAAGAGCAAGCCTCACCCTGAGCGACCTGCTCTACTTCTGTAGCATAAAAACAAACTTTCATAATGCTGCAGACTTCTCAATACTCAGCACTCTTTAACACTGTGTCCTCGGCCTACAGCTTCTCAGCATGGTGAGCTAAAGACATCTGGAGGTTTTATGTCAAAGATTTTGTAGATTGTTTTGTCTGATTTTGCTTTTAAATCAGCCCTAAAAACTGATATTCACATTATAGTAGTTAGTTGCCCTGATTCTGCAGCATGGGCAATAGAAATAAATAAATAAAAGTTACAAAATAAATAAATAAATAAAATACATAAATAAATATATGCACATCTTTTTCTTAAAACGTACACCGCAATTTAATTTTTAACAGAATTTGGGTAAACTTAATATTGGTAGTATGTTGAAGCCGTAAGTAAAAGGGATCCGCTTCTTCTCAAAGTGTTTCATTAAGTATCTCTTAATTAATACAATTCTTTTTCTTTTTTTTTTGTTTGTTTCACAGAGGGAGCCATTCAGTCATGCAACGCCACAGCGTACGCGATGAGTGCGGCTCTGAGCCCGGGGGCCCTGATAGCTCTTCTGGTGTGCATACTCATCCTCATAGGTAAGCACATGGAGCCACTGGCCTGTACACGACTCTATATTGATGGATGAACGAGAGGGTGAACGTATGGGCCGTATGCTATGATGGATGGCTCGGACGGAGGGATAAGCACAATTCATCAGTATTGCTTTTTTTTCCCGGGGTCACAGCGAAGTTCAACTGCACCATCAGGACCTCCTCAGGCGTTAGGTTCAATAGGGGGATGTGTAGTGTTAGAAGAGGAGACTGATGGCTGCTCCAGGGACGGCTGACCTCAAGCCCTCCAGATATAGATACATGCTCCGTACAACCATGCGTGTTTTGCTAAGTGGGTATTTGGACTGGGAAATGGAACAGGAATTGGAAGAAAAATAAGAAAGATAAATACATACACACACACACGCACACAATACAGTACAGCTCAATACAATGCTATAATAATGATTAATTTAATATAATGTAGTCTATTTACAGGGTTTAGAAAGTAGAAGGTTGATCCATAATTAAAAGAAACAAATTCATATTTATCTTTAATTTGTAATTTTATTAATAATTACACAAATTAAACAAATTTAGCTTTTTTTTCTTGTCTCAATATAAGTAAAGTTTAAAACTTCTCATTATGTGCTAACTAGTCCATAAAGAGCCACTCATTTTGTATTTAAGTTGTAACACACTAGATTAGGGGTGTAACGGTTCACAAAAATCACGGTTCAGTACGTATCTCAGTTTTGAGGTCATGGTTCAGTTCATTTTCGGTTCAGTATGGGAGCGAATTGCAAAAGCATTTGTGTGTTTATTAAACCAACAATTTGTTTTAACATTATATAAGCAGGAAAATAAAGTAAATGCAAAGTGCTGCTTAGTAATACCAATAAGTTAAATAAAATATTCTCAAATAAGCCATAAAAGCATGAAATTAAATAAATAAAATCCTTGTAAACAGCGAACAAAACTTTTCTAAAAGTAAAGCGCAGCACTAACAGTTCCAGCATGAAATTTTACTCAGTCTTCATATTTTTGGCCCAAAAAAAACAACTTGTCCACATTCTCTGCAGTAAGTGCAGATATGCTGGCAGTTACAACGTCCCCAGTGGTTGAAAATATCCTTTCACGATGGACAGAGGTCGCGGGTATAGGGTATAGAGGAGTAGCAGAGATTCCGTGCCGGCGAAAGATGAAAGTGAGGACTGCGGCGCGACAACCGTAGTTTTTTTTTTGTGAGAATTCCTGTGGTTTGGAGGAACATAATCAAGGCGGGGTGCAATTGTTGTCAAGGCAGCTGCCCTAACTATAAAGCACTGCAAGAAACACTGCCACCCCAATCACAGACAAGTTCCCTTATGAATATTAAAGAGCCGAGCCTTCTGTGTAGCTGCACATGTAGTTGTGGAAAGTAAACACACAAAAACTGCACAAATTCACTTGTGCACAGCCTTGCACCTTACACCCTTACTATAGATTAATTTAAAACTAAAAAAATCGAATCAACAATTTCAATTAATGGAAAAAAAAACACAAAAAACGCACACACACACACACATCAAAATTTATTTTCACTCTAGCCACAGTGTACTTCCCTGGTAGATTTAAAAGTGCACTATATAACTATGGGGGGGGGGTCTATCAGCTGCTTGTTTCTATGGATATATCACTGCTGTGCTTGGAATGTTTCACAGTACGACATTAAACAGTTCTACCTTACATTTATTGAATTACAGTTGGTTTTATGGCCCAGATATGAGCCTCTCCACAGATCTGACATGCAACGTGGTCTGAATGAAGCTGGAAACATTTAATACCATACTGTGAAACATTCTAGACAAAGCAATAACATCTCATCTCCATGTAGAAAAGCATTTCGATGGACCCTCCACCAGAAAAGTTACACGATGCACCTTTAACAACAGTGGAAAGATGTTTTGCTTAAACTAGCTGCGGGGACGTTGCCACACTTTATGAATGACACTAACCCAGTACTTGCGAACGCAGATTGGAGCAGAACTGAATGGGGCAGAAGTGGGGCGAGGGTTAGCAAGGAGCACGCAGCTAAAAACGCCAGCTCAGCGCTCCCCTAGAACAGCACGCTTTAAATAGACAAGGCGTTCTAGACATCTACACACACACACAGACACACACACACAGGTACTGTATGCATCTTCTCCGGGAGCCGCGAGCTTCACTATTGTCACATTTGAAAATTTTATGAGTTGGCTTTTCCACGGTAGGGTCCCAGTGCAACGACAGCAGTAAAGGACAATAGCGGTGTACTTTGTCTCCCCTCCGTGTTGGTACATACTTGACACCAGCCCGCTCGAGTGTGATGGATGAGCTGACACTTGAGGCTATCTATTTCTTCTAAGAGGTTTTCTAATGACTGTTGTTAAAACACGATGTCCATTAACCCCGCTGTGTACTGGACGGCATTTCAGAAGCACGGCATTATTTATTCATAGTTGTTTTAAAAGCCTCTGCAAATATGTTATTAAGAAATCTGAGGCAACTTCAATAGATAGAAAAACATGTGGTAAGTTTTGGCCCTGGATGAGATGTTCAAAGGCGTGCGCAAGTCTCATTCCTTTTATAGAAAGTTGAAAGGCTACTTATATGTTGTGAATGTGTTCAGTTCTGAATTATACCTACAGGATTTGTGTTAGAGAATATTATAACTGTTGGAACAAGTTTGCTTCGTATTAAATCAATGGGAGCATAAACTAGCCGTCTATTCAAATCAGATTTCTAAAGTGTACTGTAGATACATTTTCTATCAGGTATTTATGAATGTAATTATTTTTTTTTTGTCTGTAAAAGCCTTTCAGAGCAGAGTCCTGGACCATGGGTACCTGTGCTGTTGTAGTTGCTGAAATGGGCAGGTTTTAACGTTCTTTAATTTTACGAGCGGGTATGCGGGCGGGTAGTGATTGACACTTTGGGTCCGGGTCACCTGGTGATCTGGTGAGTCCTAGAAGTCCTGGTTAATGTCCTGATGTCCTGTTAAGTCCTAGTCCTGTCCAGCTTAAATGTTTAGTCACAGTCCTGGTTAGTCCCCAGTCCTGTGTCCAGTCCTGGTCCAGTCCTGTAGTCCTGTCCAGTCCTGGTAGTCCTGGTAGTCCAGTCCTCAGCGGTTGCGGCGTTTATATATTTATGCTAATGACACTGGTTTTGTCCTGGTTTAGACCTGGTTAAGTCTTGGTTTAGTCCTGGTTTAGTTAGGGCTGGGCGATATGGATCAAAAAATATATCTCGATATATTTTGCTATATCATCGATATACGATATATATCTCGATATATGTACAAGAAAAAATAACCCCCTAAAATTGAAAACTGCAAAAACAAATATGCCAAATTCCACAAGGTCTTTTTTTTTTATTGAAGTGTAAGAGGTCGGCAGTTCATATAGGAACATTTAAGATTACAAAAAACCCTAATTACATAAATAATAATTTAACTGTAAAATAAAAGAAATAATACATATTTCCTTCTTTTCATTCATAAATAAAACAACTCAACACAAGCTCATCTTTGTATTAACTCTGTTATCCAGACCAGAACCAGAACCATGAGCTCCTTTAGCAGAAGAAGCTCAGAAGGTTCCTTATTTTAACAGATCCATGTTATTATCCAGCAGTAAGGAGCTCTGAGGTTTCCCACAATCCACTGCAGATCAAACCCAACGATTCCAAACACTGTTGTACAAGTGACACTGCAGCAGATTATTTATTAAAATCTTCTGCATAAATAAACTTTACATTGCTAAACTTTACAATATATAAAGCATAACGACTCTAGAGCCACATCAGCCCGTTTGCGCACGTGTTTACATTTTACAGAAACGAAACTTAAGTGCATGGCTAATTTGCATAAACAGCGCACTCCACGTGCCGCTCATGCGGTTTAGCTTCTTTCGGGCTAAAGGACGAGACTCGGTGGAATGTGAGGATGTGCTGCTGATGGCCTTGAAGCTTTTCACTGGCACCAACTTTCTGTGTTCACGGCGACAGTGAGGAGTGAAGGAGACAAGAGCGCGCAAAGTCAGGGAGGCGGGGGCGAGCGGAGGCGACGAGAGAGAAGATAAACAAGCGAAGCGGCGAAATCAAAATGGAATATAAACATTATATCTATATATACGATATGTCAGAATTCATATCGAGTTTAAAAAATATCTCGATATATTTAAAATATCGATATATCGCCCACCCCTAGGTTTAGTCCTGATGTAGTCCTGGTAGTCCAGTCCTGGTTTCGTCCTGACGATCAGCTCAGCGGTTGCAGCGTGTATATATTTATGCTAATGACACTGGTTTAGTCCTGGTTTAGTCCTGGTTCAGTCCTGGTGTAGTCCTGGCGATCAGCTCAGTGGTTGCGGCGTTTATATATTTATGCTAATGACACTGGTTTAGTCCTGGTTTAGTCCTAGTGCAGTCCTGGTGTAGTCCTGACAATCAGCTCTGTGATTGTGGCGTGTATATATTTCTAATCCGCTAATGACACGGAGTAAGTTCAGTCCTGGTTTAGTCCTGGACTATTGGGCTGTCGGTCCAGTGGGCTGAAACCAGTTTATCACGGACATGGGCAGGTAAAAGAGTGGAATCTCGACAGGTCCTGGAGGGTGTGGATTTAACTTTGATGTAATCACGGGTTAATGGGCAGGTGCTTAAGTTAGGTTAGGTTGCTTTTTTGTACGCATTTGTTTTGCAGATTTGAGAGGCAGGTCCCACAGTTCACATTTCATTCATCCACATTATGTACAATAAACACGTATAAAAAGCACAATTACAAAATAAAATGTTACAGTTACGGGTTTCCAAAAATGGACCCATGCAGGACTTTGTTTCAGATTGGCTGAGGATTGTGCCAAAGACAACAAGACAGTGGAATGCGACGCCAAACTTGAGATGTTTTAGAGGCTCAAACTTTTTTTGTTTATTATGTATTATCCTGTATAATTTGTATTTATGTAACAGTTAAATATTTCATTTTGCGTAACATGGGTAACTCCAGATTTGCACAAAAGCGAGAC